TATCTGCCCACTGCCCCGTCACCCGTATCTGCTCACTGCCCCATCACCTGTATCTGCTCACTGCCCCGTCGCTCATATCCATTCACTGCCCCCTCACCCATATCTGCTCACTGCCCCATCACCCATATCTGCTCACTGTCCTGTCACCCATATCCGCTCACTGTCGCATTACCCATATCTGATCACTCTCCTATCACCCATATCCACTCGCTGTCCCATCACCCACATCCACTCACTGTGTCAGCACCCATATCCGCTCACTGTGTCAGCACCCGTATCCACTCACTGTGTCACCACCCATATCCACTTGCTATTTCAGTCCATTTGCTAGTGAAATCCTTGTCCGTACGATATCACCTTCAAACACAGCACCATCAATGACCAACTGCCCTCTAGTCTCTCCTCCTACTCCCTCTGCGAAGCCCCCCTTCTCCATATATGGGCCCCGCATTGACTATCCCTTTGCTTCTACTATCTCACTGACCTGCAGTTTCTTACTATCCCCATGTAACCCTCCTCTCCCTGTTTCTTTTTCCGCTCCCCCCCCCCCCGACATTGAACATCCTGAGCTGTGAATCTGAAAGCCTGTCAAACTCCATTCAGAGCCTCGCCCTGTTCTCGACAACACCTTCCATGAACTCTTTCATTCTTCACACACTGGCTAAAATCAGAGGGACACTGCCATAATGGAGGGCGGGAGCAGTTTCAACCAGAAACTTTCAAAAGAGATTTAAAAAAATATTGGAACAGTAAAAAAAATAGAAGTACCATGAGGAAAGGCCAAATAAATTATATTCTATTTGTTCATGGGAAGTGGGTGTCGCTGGCTGGTCAGTATTTATTGTCCATCCCTAGTTGCCCCTTGAGAAGGTGGGGGTGAGCTGCCTTCTTGAACCGCTGCAGTCCTCCTGCTGTGGGTTGACCCCAATGCCCTTAGGGAGGGAATTCCAGGATTCTGACCCAGCGACAGTGAAGGAACGACGATATATTTCCAAGTCAGGATGGTGGGTGGCTTGGAGGGGAACTTGCAGGGGGTGGTGTTCCCATGTATCTGCTGTCCTTGTCCTTCTAGATGGAAGTGGTGGTGGGTTTGGAAGGTGCTGTCTGAGGATCTTTGGTGAATTTCTGCAGTGCATCTTGTAGATAGTACACACTGCTGCTACTGAGCGTCGGTGATGGAGGGAGTGGGATGTTTGTGGATGTGGTCCCAATCAAGCGGCTGCTTTGTCCTGGATGGTGTCAGGCTTCTTGAGTGTTGTTGGGGCTGCACCCATCCAGGAAAGTGGGGAGTATTCCATCCCACTCCTGACCTGTGCCTTGTAGATGGTGGACAGGCTCTGAGGAGGCAGGAGGTGAGTTACTTGCTGCAGTATTCCCAGCTTCTGGCCTGCTCTTGTAGCCACTGTGTTTATGTGGTGAGTCCAGTTGAGTTTCTGGTCAATGATAACCCCCAAGATGTTGATAGACAGCCTGCCAGGAATGGCTGAATGGCCACCTGTGCTATCACATGTGGGGATCATATTGACCTCCTGAGGTTATAGAGCCCGCCGTGCGTGAGGGTCTCTCAGTTTGACCTCAGGGCTTTGGAGATTCTCTGGCTGACTGTGTCACTCAACCACCCCACACCCCACCCCCCCACGCCCCCACCCCCCATCTTGGTGGGTCGCCCTCACTCGGTCTGTCTCGTTGCAGTCCCAGGGAAGATTCAGAAGGGTCCGGATAGCGTGAAAGTGAAGGTGGGGCAGACGGTGAAGCTGGTTGCTCACATCAGCGGTGAGCCTGAGCCTGACGTTGGATGGGCCAAGGATGGTGAGGACGTGGAAGAGGATGACAGGTAACAGGGTCTCAGCCCAGGCCCCGTGGTGGCGAGAGAGGGGGTGGAGGAGTTGATCTCCGGGGACAGGTTACATCTCAGTCTGGGCTCAGAGCCGCAGGTCCTTGGGGGCAGGCCGCATTTGTTTCCATGGAAACTCATTTCAAAGACTAGATTTTTTTTAATCTCACTCCGAGGGCCGTGGGTGTCAATGGCAATTTTTAGTCCATACCGCAGAGGAGGGGCTGGTAGTGAGGTTTCACTTGGTGCCTCTGTCAAGACCAGCATTTGTTGCACAGCCCTAATTGCCCCCTGAACTGTGTATCTTGTTGGGCCTTTTCAGAGGGTAGTTAAAAATCACCCACATTGACTGTGGTTCTGAAGTCACATGTAGGCCAGACCAGGTAAGGATGGAGGTTTCCATCCCTAAAGGACATTAGTGACTCAGGTGGATTTTTCCCAACAATCGACAATTGATTCATGGTCATCCTTAGATTCTTAATCCCCGATTTCTATTGAATTCAAATTCCACCATCTGTCATGGCAGGATTCGAACCTGAGTCTCCAGAACATTACCAGACTCTCTGGATTAATAGGGTACAGTGATAATAGCACTGGGCCATTGCTCCCCATTATTACCATAACACCATTCCCTCCCCTTCTGCCATCAACAGGTGATTGAGGGTCCGAATAGTGAAGAGAGGTAGCTTTCATGCAGGAGATCTGCCATGATCTTAATGGATGGCACAGCAGGCTCAAAGGGCCGAATGGCCTACCTGATTTTTGAATTGAAATGACACTAAGCCTGAAGGATCTCTGTGTTGGAGGTCTCAAAGTCATCTCTGTCCTTGGGCAATGGGACCAGAGAGGGGACTGGGAGAAACATTAATTCAGCTGGGATCTGGAAGACACTGTCCGAAAGGCTGGGGGTAATAGGTTCATTGGAGCTTTCAAACGGGGGAATTGAAGATGGGAAATTTGCTTGGGGGGCGGGATGTGCAAAGTATGAGGGGCATTGAGATTACTTGCAAAGGGCTGGCACCAGCACAGTAGGCCAAAAGGCCCCTTCAAGCACTATGTTTCTAGGTTCCTGCATGGGATGTGTGATGGGAATGGAGAGGGGAAAGGATGGGGAAAAGGTTTTACTGTGAGCTTCGTTGGGAAACTCAGCTCCTCTCTGCCTCTCTCTGTCTCAGATTGTTTTATGATATTGATGAAGACACCACCACACTGACTATCAAAAATGTCACAAAAGCAGATGCTGGGAAGTACGAAGTCTTCGTAGAGAACAGTCTGGGAATGGACCAGTCGTTTGCCAGAGTTGATGTCATCTGATTTCTCTCACTCGCCATCTCTTTCCCTCCCTGTCGGTTGCTCTCCCTGTCTCTCTCACACTCTCTCCATCTCTCTAACACTGTTTTAATAGTCTGGGAGCTGTATATCCCCCTGACTATCACAATCACTGCTGTCACTCCCTCTGGCTCATACTGAGAGGCAGTCGAAGGTTAGTGACCCATCCTCAGGGATCACAGATGGTTGGTGCTAGTACTCCATTCCTCACTACTGACCCACTCGTTGGGGTGAAACCGCTTTTGTTTAAAATAAAGATTTGAAACTGTTTCACTAATAAGGTGAGTGTGTGTGCTGTCACTGTTTACATCAGAGAGGGTTCAAAACACAACAACTGAGGGGTTTATCCATCATCAACACAATTATCCCCAGTAAGGAAAACATGAATGATGAACTGTCAGAGGGAGAGAATGATGAACTGATGGAGAGATAGAATGATAAACTGTCAGAGGGAGAGAATGATGAACTGTCAGAGGGAGAGAATGAT